AGCTGCATGCAAATAAAACTTCTAACTCAAGAAAAATGTTATATGCATTAGAGAATCTACAGAAATACTAACATGATTTGTTTAAAGCAGAAAAAATGCTTATGTATTTCAAATAACCTAACATATTTGATTGGCTGATTTTGGTATGGCTACGTTTTCTTAAAATAAAGGTCATCTTTATTAATCTTGGTTCCTTAGTAATCCAGTAGAACAATTTAACCTGTAAACGACCAAACCTGTTGCCGTCGAGTCAAGTCCGATTCATAGCGACCCTACAGAACAGAAAAGAACTGCCCTATAAGGTTTTCAAACTATAATCTTTACAGAAGGAGATTGCCACATCTTTCTCCCGCAGAGTGGCTGGTGAGTTCAAACTGCTGACCTTTCAATTCACAGCTGAGCACTTAACCACTGTGCCAGCAGGTCTCCTTAGAACAATTTAGAGATTTGTATTTTGACAAGAGGTAGTGGTGATTCAGTGGTAGAATTCTCGCCTTCCATGCTGGAGACCCGATTTGATTCCCAGCCAATGTACCTCATGCCCAGCCACCACCCATCTGTCAGTGAAGGCTTGCATGTTGCTATGATGTTGAACAGGCTTCAGCAGAGCTTTCAGACTAAGACAGACTATAAAGAAAGGCCTGGAGATCTCCTTCCAAAAATCAGCCAGTGAAAACCCTGTGGATCACAACGGTCAGATCCACAACTGATCATGGAAAGGGCGCAGGACTGGGCAGTCTTTTTCCGTTGTGCTTGGGGTTGCCATGAGTTGATGGCTGACTCCACAGCAGCTAACAATATCATGACGTATCTATCCAAGTGCCATTAAAAAAAAAAAAAAAAAACTATAATTATTACATTCATTTATTAAATTAAAAGGGTAATTCCCAAAAGAATGAACAAATCTGTCTTGGAAGAAGTACAACCAGAAGCTCCTTAGAAGCAAGGATGGCGAGACTACATCTCACATACTTCGGACATGTTATTAGGAGGGATCAGCCCCTGGAGAAGAACACAATGCTTGGTGAAGTAGAGGGTCAGTGAAAAAGAGGAAGACCCTCAACGAGATGGACTGACACAGTGGCTGCAATAATGGGCTTAAGCATAACAACGATTGTGAGGATGGCGCAGGACCAGGTGGTGTTTCGTTCTATTGTACATAGGGTTGCTGTGAGTCAGAACTGACTTGATGGCACCTAACAACAACAACAATCCCATCACAATTCTTCACCGTGGTCTGAAAGACTGAAAACTTCTCAGGAACAGACAGGTGCTATGATCTATCCTGCGGCACGTGGCGTCACAGCAGGGATCCCTTCCTAAGGTGCTATCACCCTCCCTTTCGACAACAGCACGTGCCCACAACGTGGAAGATGTGGGTGTCCTGAAGCCTGGACGAAGGCCAGCAGGGTGAGCAGGAGGGCCCTGCAGCGCACCAGCAAATGCCGTAGATCCGAGAGTGGCTATCTACCTACGCAGTCGTTGAGCCACAAGATAACCGCTGCAGCCATTCAACAGGGAAGTGTTGGTATCGGGATGTGGATAAAGTAAAAACCCTCAAATTTTGATACAGGATTCTGTTACCAGCATGTCTATGGAACCCCCAATTAGGGCAAAGTTCTAAACTGGATACAGACTGTCAACAACTTCACAATCTCTATGGCCTTTTAACCCTTCCGTGACTCGTGGAACATATGGTATCCCACCCACTGTTTATGCCTCTAGAGTTTTTTGGGAGGATACTTTTCCTGCTGAAAGTATTTGCTCCCCTTCAGTGGGGACTTGTGTGATGGTGAAAGGCGAAAGAAATGTTTGTTGAAGCAAAATAGCCGAGGTATTAGGCAAAATCCAAGGTGCCCCATGTACCAAAATGGAAGGCGCCCCGCAATAAAGCCTGGTACCGAAAGCTGGTGTGCCAGGTGGGCTCCCACAAATCATGTATTTTCAGTATTTCTCAAAATCTCTATTACCAACCAAAAATTTAAACACACTGACTCAGCACGCATTCCACTACTGAAAACACATGGCACAACAAAAACTCAAAGCAGAAAGGGTCTTGAAAGGGTTAAGGAGGGTGACCAAACGTCCCACTTTGCCTGGAAGCTCTCCCAGTTGTCCTGGCACAATTGTTAATAGTGCCTCCTTCTTAAAAAGTGTCCTGGATTGGGTGACAAATCACAGTTACCTCACCTTCATGTTCCATCACTTGGGGTCTGCCCAGCACCCCAAGACGCCCTTAGAGCTTTCCCAGCAGAGCGCTGGGTCCAGACTTCCCTCCCACACCTCCCTCCTCCAGGAGTTGGAAAAGTTTTATTTGCATGCAGCTTTTTCTTAACAGCATCTCGTGGAAAAAAAGCAAGGAACCCACATACAAAGACGCGCTTTAAGCAACAAACTCGTGCTGATTTCTTAGTTCCCCTTTTCAGATTACCTTGCTGTGTGGGAAAGCCAACTGTGGGGCTGGTAGGAATGATTCGGACTCATGGTGACTCCATGTGATACAGAGAAGAACTGAGCTTCATAGAATTTTCTTGGCTGTAATCTTTACAGAAGCAGATGGCCAGGCCTTTCTTCTGCGGTGCCACTGGGTAGGTTCCAACAGCCAATGTTTAGGTTAGCAGTCGAGCGCAAATCATCCAGAGACCTCCCCTCAGAGCAAGGGAACCTAAAACAGCCATCTGACTGAAATATGTGCATTTGAGAACAGCCTTTTGTACACAATGGCCCTAAACCAGAGACGTGCACCTAATGAGTAATCTAGGCATCTGTGTGGCCTAGCAGAACAGAGCTTTTGAACAGGAGTTACCTTTCAGAGTTCTCCCAGCTCACCACTGACGCGGGCTGGCACTCAGGAGCTGGGCACAGCAGAGCTGGATGGCAGGTGGGGACGGCTCTGACCACCCTCACATCTTCCACTGTGAAAATCCTGTCCTTTCTGCTCCCCAAAAGCAGCTGAGGAAAGACGGGGACTCGCAGTTCTCACGTGGCCCCTACTATGCGCCTCGCTCACAGACAGAATGACCAAGGCATGTTTTTAGATGAATAAAATCAAACTTTATTCTATTATTGCATGAATATTTTTGAAATAGGAAATGTTCTTATTCTACTAAAAAAAACAAAAAACAAAACTCCTTACACTGTGAACATTTAAAAAGGTTATTTTCTTTACAATTATATAAATATTTTTATGTCCATATAAATGTGTTGTTTATGGTCCTAAAAGCTTTTTAAAAAAATCAAAACAATTACATTATTCAGATAATAATTACCTTAGTTAGAAAACAAGAAGCATTCCCCAGCAAATGAAAGAGAGAGGACACATTTGGGGTCGTGCAGTGGGAACGGGCTGGGGGAAATGAAGCTTGAAAACAAAAGCCAAACCAAACCAAACAAGCCTGCACTTGGATCTTGGAGAAAAAAACTCAGCAAAGACTAAATTATATGCAAAAATGGAAAGTAACCAGGCAAGGTGAGTGTGAAACTCACTGTTCTTCCAGGAGCAAGATCTTCTTGTTTATTCTTATCAAGCAAACTGCGTTTCACTGTGTCAGCAGAATTAGAGAAAAGACAGCCAGCAGATGCGCATTCACATTTCTGTTCCAGCATGTACACTGGCTGTGTGATCCTGGCAAGATACTCAGCCTCTCTGAGTCTGTTTCCTCGCCTGAAAAATGGGGACAATACTCTCTACCTTGCTGGTCTGTTTGGAGGATTAGAGGTAATGTATAAAAAGTACTTATATTCACCTGGAATATAATCGGCACTCAATAAATGAAATGATTTTTTCATATGTGACAAGGCCTTTATCTTAGAGTTTAACCTCGGATTCCACTAGTCTACTCCTATGTGGTTCTGTCAATCATCAACAGTCTAAGGCTGATCTATTCTTCCCTCTCTGAAGTCACGCAACCACAAGGAGCCACTGAGAATGAAAAATCAGACTTTCTATTTGGGAAGTTGTGGCCACCCCTTGCCTACGGCACTGTGGAGTAGAAGGTTAATGGGGGAGAACTGATTTACTTCCTCAGGTATCACTGCTTCCCCCAAGTTGCTGACTCCAGGGCACCAATGACAGTATTGTCTAGTAGACTTCGGGGGCAACATCCTCCTAGAATACAATGTAGGCCACGCTCCCTAGGGCCAGGCCAGGAGCTCCTGCATGCACCCTCCTCCCCAGGGGCATTGGTTCAAGACCACAAAGGCCTTCTGCAGGGACCAGACGGACTGCATGCACACACCTAGCCCCAAAGGAAGCCTTTGGACCCTGAGTCCCCCACTTCCCTGGTCAGTACCAGCACTCTCTTGTCTCTGGGATGAGAAGCCATGACTCCTTAAAGAGGGAGGGTTTTAAGGAAGAAAGAATTCTCGATTTGAAAAGAACTGTGGCAAGCTCTCTGGCATGGGTGTGTGTGAGTAGACAGATTCGGGCAGGAAGTGCACGCCCCCAGTATGTCTGGAGAAATGCCTGAAAGAGCAGCAGGGACCTGGAGGACGTTAGTCCTGTCCCCAAAATGACAGGGGCGGGCTGGACTCCAAGCACACAGGGGCAGAGCAGGAAGAGACAGCGCCAACAGAAAACAACAGTTGCACTCAAGGTAAACTGCGATCTCAGATGTACAATGCACGCAGCATCACCAAAAGCCTCACGTGCAGTTTGTATGAGTTCTACAGAAAGTCCCCGCTCAGTTTTTGGTCCTGATGAGGTTTTCCTCTTTTCACAAATAGCCATCCAAATATTAAAGCAGAGGCCTATGAGGAGGCTGATTTTCTCCTGCTCTCCTGGAGTCCAAGCCAGGTTTCAGACAAGTCCATGCCAATGTCACTGGGAGGCCAGGGTCCACCTGCACCTGCGCCAGCAGGATCCAGGGAAGTCCGTCCTGTGCAGGCTGACGTCAGCAACATCCCTGATAGGACGGGCTGCGGGGACGGGTGGCCAGGGAGGTCCGGGGAGTCCCCAGGCTCCGCTGCCCTGGTGTTGGCTGCCTGTGTGCGCTGTTCTGTTAGGCTGGCAGAAGTGAATGGATGAGAGTCCCCAGGAGCCCCGTGTCAGGGAGGGCTGCTGCTCCTGGGAGGCATGGCCCTGCCCTGCTGTGTATCCGCACCGCCTGGAGCTTTCAAATGTACTGCTCCTCGTCCCTGTCACTCAAGAGCAGAGACCACTTGTCCCCACCATCGTCAGCTGCAGCACTGTGCCGGGATAGCCTGTCTGAGGTCAGCGAGGACAGCGACACCTGGCTGACGTAGCTGACCTGGTCCCACGGCGTGGCCCGGGGAGAGTCCCGCCGGCGGTCGTCCATGCCGATGTGCACACTGACCTGGGACAGGGTCAGGGGCCTCACGCGGCCCTGGGCCTGCGCCTCATACCGCTCCAGGTCTGGCTTCTTATAGCTGCAAAGCAAGAATGCAAGAGCATTTGAGCCCTTTGGGACACAGGCTTTTTTAAAGCCTGGTAAAGGCTGCTCACCCGTCTTTCAATAACGTGAAGTACCAAAACTGCATGGAATTTTAAAGGAAAAGGACTCCTATGGTTCAAATTAAGTTCACCTGATATAGAAAATTCCTACCCAAACAGCTTGCACATAGCGGATTGTCATTAGTTTTTATTAGATAAATGCATGAATAAATGGATGAATAAACATATGGCTGTCTTTAAAAAAAAGAAAAACAGTAAGACACAGGGATCCCACGCCTATAGGCTATTTACATAAACAGACCTTGAGCAGAATAACCAGAGCAGCCCAGCAGGCGACGACTGTCAGGAGGTAAAGCATCTGCTCAGGGTGCCTACTACAAACACACACATGTGGCTCTGCATGGGGCTGTCACTCAGGCCTTTGTTTCAGGTCAGTGAACTGAACACCAGCACAGCAAACACCTATTTTTACCCCAGAAGCCACCCCAGCACGCCCAAATCTGCCTGGTGAATGCAGGGGGAAGGGGTTTCCTGGGGATCCATTCTTCAATAAACGTCTGCATGAAGGTCTCTAACAAACGTGCCCCACCCACCAGGGACTCACCACTTGAGGTGCAGGGACGAGAGCACCACAGACACTGAGGAGGCCGCCATGGCCGCTGATCCCATCCACGGCTGCAGCACAATGCCGACGGGCATGAAGACACCTGGTCGGGAAGGACACACCCTCACACTGCAGCCCTGAGCAGGAAGCAGGCCCAGCCTGCAGTAGGGAGGAATCGCCCTGCCCTCAGCTGCCCATGGGAACACAGGAAGCACCTCAGTGGCTCACAGGCCCTGGGCCGCCGGGGAGGCTGCCTTACAGCACTGGGCAGTAGGAGTGGGCTCGAGTCTCTTCAGGGTTTCCATCTGCCCTGACCTCCCTGAAGGCCTCCACAGGGGGCATCACGGTTTCAGGAGGGCTGCAGCGAGGTGCAGCGTGTGGAAGAGCTTTGAGAGCGGCTGAGTGAGCTGAGGCAGTGGGAGGAAAAGCAGAAGTACAGGCAGCCCTTGTCCTTAACACATTGCTGCTAATCACAGTTCCTGTATTTACGGATTATTTTACCTCAAGGGCCTCATAATACCTTGTTTAAAGAGAAACGAGAATGCAGATATGGTCAAATGTCTGTGGCAGAGGCCCAAACACCAGAGGGAATCAGTCCTGATAAGGCTGTGGGCAGGAAGTAAGCATGCCTGACTGACTCGGGCCAAGGGGATGGAGGCCACACGCTAATCCCTGTGGCCTGAGTCACCGCCAGCAACCCACAGTCAGGGGACCTGAGGTGGAAGGTCGGGGCTAAAAACCTCGGCCTCCTCAGCCCGTGAGAGCATTTCTGGCAGAGTGCTGGAGCTTTTCCTGACGAGCTCCACAGGACTCAGGGGGCAGGAGCTGTTATAAGGAGGAGAGATTCGCCTCCTCCCGTGGTCATTCTGTGCGTCAGAGTAAACTTGGGTAGGATTCCTTCTTAAGAGAAGGCTTCTGCAATGCCATCACTGCGCCTAGAATGTGGCAGGTGCCCAGCAACTGTTCATAACGATTATTTTTCAGATTCTATGGTTTAATAAATGGTTCAGATAATATGGCCACAAGTAAATGAACGGTCAAGCATCTTGGTCAGCTTTCCACAGATGGCCAGAGGGGACAGTGAGGAGGGGACATGGAGGAAGAGCAGCCAGTCTGAGGCCCACTGTTGCTAACCCTGTTCCATCTTCCACTCACAGAGATGCACCTCTCCAACAAGGTCAGTGTGGCATGGGGGGCCATTGTAAAAATTCAGCACAAGGCTACATCATCTCACACTTCTCTTTTACTTGGAGGCTTGGTTCCTTTCTGCAGTTTCTCATTCGTCTTTAAAGACATATAAAGCAGAGGACAGGACAAAAACCAGCCAGCCAGTGAGGTGGGCTACTTAACCCGCTCAGCAGGAACTCTGGCAGAGGGAAGCAGACAGCTGGGGTTCCAGGTAACAAGCCAGGTGAGAGCCACCCTACCTGCTGCAATGGGTATCCCAACCAGGTTATAAATCAACGCCAGGACCAGATTGATTCGTATTCTCCAGACAGTCCTCTTGGAAAGGTGAATGCTGGCCACCACATCGAGCAGGTCATTCTGCAGGAGAGGAACGCGCTGTGGGCAAGGAGTTCTGTCACTCTGCCCCGCCCTCACCACTCCCGTAACCAGCACAGTAGGAAGGAAGGGCAGCCACGCTCACTCTGATGAGGACGACGTCGGCTGCCTCGATGGCCACGTCCGTGCCTGTCCCAATAGCAATGCCCACGTCTGCCTGGGCCAAGGCCGGCGAGTCGTTGACCCCATCTCCCACCATGGCAACTTTCTTCCCTTCCTTCTGGAGCTCCTGGATCCTGGCCACCTTGTGGGAAGGCAGCACCTCGGCAAAGACTTTGTTGATGCCAACCTAACAGGAAATAATAAACACATTGCCACACCTAATGCTGGCAGTGAAGAGCTAACAGAGGCAGAAACCCCCGAGTCATCAACTCCAGTCTCCCCTCCTCCTCCAAGTCCAGCTGATACACTCAGTAGATTCAGGGTCCACGTCAAGTTTATCCCGCTTCCCACCACAGCACCCCTGCGTGGATTAGGCCCCTCGTTTCCAGGGTTAGCAAAAGGCTCCTCACAGGCCTCCAGTCAGAACCTGCCTGCTGACCCTGCTCTCCACGCTGCCGTCCAAGCTGTCTTCCCAGAGCTCATCACCTGCCTGTGTTAAGCCTCTGCTTAATGTCTTTCAATGGGGTTTTGAAAATGGATGGCAGTGGTGTTGCACAACATGGAAATTAATGTCACTGAACTGTGCACTTAAAAATGGTTAAAATATGCCAAATTCTATGTTAGGTTTATTTTATAAAACAAAATCCTGCAACAGATCCCACTTCCCTTTGGATAATCTCTAACTCTTCAGTCTGCTTTCTGAGTCCTCTTGGTCTGGTCTCTGCCCACCTCGCTTCAGGCCTCGTGGCTCTGGCTGGACCCACACTCAAACCTGTATCCATTCTGCTCCCTGCAACTTCTCAGCTCATCGGGCTACATTACACCTCTGCACTGCTGCTTGTCCTTCCGGCCTGTCCACAGGAAGCTCACTATCCCTCCCCCTCTTCTACATCTGACCATCTTCTGACTCAAGCACCCCTGCCCTCGGTGGTGCATGTGTGATGGCTGTGTGGCTCAGGGCAGAACAGAGCATGTGGCAAGAAGAGCCACACACGAGGAGAAAAAGCCAGCAGAAAGCTGAGCGGTGGGTGCGGTGGTGCCTACTTTTTCCTCTAAATGCTTCTGTGAGCCTGAAACACTTCATCATTTTAAAGAGGGAAGCCTGGGCCACCCCGCCTATACCTGGGTGGCAATGGCTCGGGCCGTCTTCCGGTTATCCCCAGTGATCAGAACCACATCCACACCCATGCTCTTCAGCGTGTGCACAGCCAGCGCTGCCTCCTGCTTGACTGCATCCGCAATGGCAATCATCCCACAGAGGACACCTGGGAGAGGACCACCGCCACAGGTAAACGACCACAGGTGTGCTGCAGCCATTACAGTCACAGAACATTTCATGACTTGGAAAACGTTTCGTATATAATGTTTAATGTAAAAAACAAAACATCAAATTATATAATATAGTTCTGATTGTGTGTGTATTTAATTACATAATTTATAAATGTAGAGAGTCAGGAAAAAGAGGAAGACCCTCAACGAGATGGACTGACACAGCGGCTGCAACAATGGGCTCAAGCATAACGACTGTGAGGACCAGGCAGTGTTTCATTGTGTTGTACACAGGGTCACTATGAGTCGGAACTGACTCGATGACAGCTAACAACTAAAACAACATTTATAGATGCAGACAAAAGTCTGGAAGGAATGCCAAAATGTTAACAATAGAATTGTGGGTGCTTTCGTTTTCTTATTTATAACTCTCTGAACTAATTTTCTGTAGGGAATATATATTACTTTGCAGAGTGCCTGGCTCATAATAAGAACTCAATACATATTTGCTATTAAAATATGAGAAATATAACCAGCGCTACTTAAAAAGTGAGGAATATCCAAACACCCAGAAAATCTATCCTTCTTTTTTGTCTCTTCCACAGAAAACATTTTTTGTGGAATTTTTTTGAGTGAATCTTCAATACTGAAACAGGCAGGCTTTCAGCGGCTGAGGTGGGACTGGGAACGGGCGGTGGGAGGGGTGAGGTACCAATGGGCCGACTCTGGTGGACCAGACGAGAAGGCATGGCAGTGGGAGCAGGAAATACAACAAGAGAACGGGAGAAGATTTATTTGCCTGGAGCATTCAAAATATAGCTCCATAATTACTATTTCTTATTTGTATATAGTTTTACTTCTATTTGCAGAAAATAACATTAACAAAGGAAAGATTCTAGTCTCTCTCTGATGTAAAGCCTGAGATATAACTTGTGTACTAAGATACAGGGAGCCCTGCATGAGAGCCTCTGTAAAGCCTCTGTGAAAATCAATTTTTACAAATCAAACAGTTGAAAGTTACAAGGGATCTCCTTGGTTTGGCTGCAGGGTTTTAGTGTACGGGATTTTCTGAAAGCAGTCTGTCTCTCAGGACTGACTGAGCAGTGAAGCACAAGAAGGATGACTTTGTACTGCCACCTGGGCAGAATCCAACACAATGGAGAAGCTGGTGACAATTCCAAGAGCAGGAAGACCAGCGTCAGAGCAGAGCTGCTCTGGGAGAACAGACAGACAGACGGTGAGAAAGGGCTTCAGGACTGAGAATAAAGGCAGAAAGACAGTAAGACAACCTTCTAGAAGAGACAACTAAAATTAAGAGGAAGGCCTGAGCAGAGAGCTACCATCAATAGCCACCAAGACAGCCGTCTGTCCTTCCATTTCGTGGTCTGTCATCATGTCACTGATGTCGCCGGAGATGGTTAAGCCATTGCGCCTCATCCACTCACGGTTTCCAATCAGCACAGAAAAGGTCTCAGGGGCTGTGTCTGCTCAAAAGAGACTGTGGTTATTCCCAAATAGTCCCATTTCACTGTGAGGAAGAACTAAAAACCACAGAATCTTTTCAGTGAATAGAATTTATTTATTTTTAATTTTACTGTGCTTTAGGTGAATGTTTATAGTGCAAATTAGTTTCTCATTCAAAAATTTATACAAAAATTGTTCTGTAACACCCATAATGTGTCAGCACTTTCCCCCTTTCCACCCCATGTTCCCCATGTCCACTCATGCAGGTTTCCTGTCCCTTCCAGCCTTCTTGTCTTTGGTTTTGGGCAGGTGTTGCCCATTTGGTCTTGTATACTTGATTGAACCAAGAAGCACATTCCTTACTTGTTTTATAGGCCTTTTAATCTTTGGCTGAAAGGCAGACGCCAGGAGTGTCTTCAGTTCTGAGACAGAAAGGTGTCCAAGGGTGTAGTCTCGGGGGTTCATCTAGTCTTTGTCGACCAGTAAGTCTGGTCTTTTTTTGTGAATTTGAATTTTTGCTCTACATTTTTCTCTGGCTTTGTCCAGGACCCTCTTTTGTGATCCCTGTCAGAGTGGTCGGTGGAGATAGCCATGCACCATCTAGTTCATCTGGGCTCAGGCTGGTAGAGGCTGTGGTTTATATGGTCCATTAGTCTTCTGGACTAGTATTTTGTGTCTTTGGTTTTCTTCATTCTCCTTTGCTCTGGACGGGATGGGACCAACAGATGTATCTCAGATGGCTGCTCGCAAGCTTTTAAGAACTCAGACACTACTCAACCAAAGAAGGATGTAGAACATTTTCTTTACGATCTAGATGTCCCCCAAGACCACGGTCTCCAACCCTCAGCCCCAGTAACTCAGTCCCTCAAGGTGTTTGGATGTGTCTAGGAAGCTTCTATGACTTTGCCTTGGTGAAATTGTGCTGACTTCCTCTATACTGTGTCTTTCCCTTCACCGTTTAACACTTGTCTGCTATTTAGTATTTCCCCTCCCTACTCCTTCCCTCCCTAGCAACCATCAAAGATTGTTCATTTCTGTGTTTAAACCTTTTCTTGAGTTTTTATTATACCCCCATTGCCTTCGAGTCCATTTCGACTCGTAGCGACCCTACAGGACAGAGTAGAACTGCCCCATAGGGTTTCCAAAGAGCAGCTGGTAGATTCAAACCACCAACCTTTTGGTTAGCAGCCAAATGCATAACCACTGAGCCACCAGGGCTCCATTTTTTTTTTTTTTAATAATAGTTTATCCTTTTGTGATTGACTTATTTCACTCAGCATAATGTCCTTCAGATTTCTCCATGTTGTGAGGTATTTCGTACACTCATCATTATTCTTTATCATTGCATACTATTCCACTGTCCGTATGTACCATATTTGTTTATCCATTTATTTGTTGATGGGCACTTAGGTTGTTCCCTTTTTTTGCTACTGTGAATAATGCTGCAATGAACATGAGCGTGCATATGTCTATTCATGTGATGGCTCTTATTTCTCTAGGATATATTCCTAGGAGTGGGACTGCTGGACTGTATGGTATTTCTATTTCTAGCTTCTTAAGGAGGTGCTGTATCATCTTCCACAATGGTAGTACCATTTTACATCCCCACCAGCAGTGCATAAGAGTTCCAATCTCTCCGCAACCTCTCCAACATTTGTTATTTTCTTTTTTTTAATTAGTGCCAATAATGTCGGGGGTGAGACGGTATCTCATTGTAGTTTTGATCTGCATTTCTCTAATGACCATAAGCATTTCCTCATGTGTCTGCTAGTTGCCTGAATGTCTTCTTTGGTAAACTTCATATCCTTTGTACATTTTTAATTGGATTATTTGTCTTTTTGTTGTTGAGGTGTTGAAGTATTCTATAGATTTTAGAGATTAGGCCCTTGTCAGATATGTCATAGCCAAAATTTTTTTCCCAGTCTGTAGGTTCTCTTTTTACTCTTTTAGTGAAGTCTTTTGATGAGCGTAAGTGTTTAATTTTTAGAGCTCCCAGTTATCTAGTTTATCTTTGGGTGTTTGAGCACTGGTAGTCATGGTTTGTATGCTACTTATGCTATGTAGTAGGGCCCCTAGCATTGTCCCTATTATTCTTTCCACTATCTTTATCATTTTAGGTTTTTTGTTTAGGTCTTTGATCCATTTTGAGTTAGTTTTTGTGTATGGTGTAAGATATGGGTCCTGTTTCTTTTTTTTACCAATGGACACCCAGTTTTGCCAGCACCATTTATTAAAAAGACTGTCCTTCCCCACTGAATGGACTCTGGTCCTTTGCCAAAGATCAGCTGTCGACAGGTGGATGGGTTTACATCTGGGTTCTCGATTCTGTACCATTAGTTTACATGTCTGTTGTTGTAGCAGTACCAGGCTGTTCTGACTACCACAGCTGTAGAGTAGCTTCTGACATCAGGTAGTGTGAGCCTCCTACTTTGTTCTTTTTCTTTAGTAATGCTGTGCTTATCCAGAGCCTCTTTCCTTTCCATATAGAGTTGGTGATTAGTTTTTCCATCTCGTTATAGAATGCTTGTTGGTATTTGGATCAGGATTGCATTATATCTGTACGGCGCTTTGGGTAGGACCGACCTTTTTGCAATGTTGAGTTCTCCTATCTGTGAGCATGGTATGTTTTTCTAAAGTTAGGGGTGATAGCATCTGCACATCCCATCAGAGTCCCCACACACAGGAGGGAAACAGGAGGAAGAAATTAGAATTCTCACCTGTCTACTTTGTAGTGTATGAGAAGCAAGATGAATTTGGGCTAAGAAAGAGAACCAAGATTATGAATCAGACATGCAATAAATTTATGATTTTAAGAAACATACTACTTCTGTCTGCCCTTAGCATCAAAGTGTAGTACCAAAGAACACAGAGAAACTGCAGCTCTCCTGGGTGAGGCGGTGAGCGGCACACCTCCACCTGCACCCTACTCAGGCCTAGCCACCAGCAGATCCAGCAGCAGAGACAAAGACCAGTGCTACCTTTCTCAGCAGGCGTGCTGCCAACGCTGTTCTGGTGACCAGCCTGCATGCTCAGGGTCAGGATGCTATCCATGATGCTGACCTTACAGCTGATTCCACAGCCCGGGACCACCTGGAAGTCTGTGCAGTACCCCAAGGTTTCCGTTCCAAGTTCCTGTGAAGGAAGGGAGAGAGAGCAAGCAGAAAACAGAGAGAGAGGCAGGACACAGATGAGGGGATGACAGCAGGTCAGAGAGAAGTATAAGCCAGGAATTAAGAGAACAGAGAGGAAAGAAAAGTAGAACCAAATGGAAAGGTTTAGAGATTGCCTACTAACTCAGCAGTTATCTTTCTCTCATCTGATACAGATACTACAGTTATTAAATCCTAAACTCTCCCTCGGTGGATGGTTCATGAAAACTGGACAGGGCATACACTAAAAGGAGAAAAGTAATTCACATCAAAGACCTCAAGTTAAAGGGGTGTGCAGATGCTAAACAGAGGAAAGATAGTATTTTTATGTTGCAAACCGTTTCATAAAAGTGATGAACGAGATTGGTAGCAAAGCTATTTTGAGGCTCTCTAGAGACAGCGGCCATTTGTTAGAACCTGACAGGAGGGGCAAGCATGGCAGGGGACAGAAGGAGGGGTTGCTTTTTTTTGAGTGAGCAAAACAGCAAATGCAAGGATGACTGCGCATGAGCCTGACTCTTTTGGAAACAGCAGAGGCAGAGGTGAACGTGAAGTGGCCGTCTGTCCAGCCCCACAGAGAAGAGAAGACACGAAGTGAGGTTTCGGGAGAGCTCCTGTCCAGGAAGAGCTGGCAACCTCCCCTCAAGGCGTCAACGTCATCTTTCTAAAGTTACAGGTGAGAGCATCTGCTCTGGCAGTCTGAACAGTTTCAGGGCAGTAGGCTGGCACTTCCTGCTCCCTCTATACTAGATTCAAACAGAGAACACTCAACAGGACCTTCCACCCGGGAGAGAGAGGGGGCGGGGCTTCTCCACTCGCCTGTGCCAAGACTTAGGCTAGCGTTCAGCTTACCTGAATGGATTTCTCCCTCCCTCCCTCACTCAACATTCCCATTGCGTTTTTGCATCCCTTTGACTAAACTCTCATAAAGGGCTGGACTCACATGCTGGAAGCTCCCAGAGGGCAGAGTTCACATTTCCCTTGTTTTTGTTGCCCCGAGCACAGCACCAAGCACACGTGCTCATAAGGCTCGATAAATGCCTGTTACGTCAACTGCTCTTCTGATGTCAGGAAATACAACAAGGGCCTTAGTGTGGGCTGCACCTCCACCTGCTCCAAGGCGCTGCTACGGCCTCCTCCAGGGCCGCTGACTCAGGTGCTGCCGCCAGCTAGGAGGAAGGCGAGGAGTGGAGAACGAGGCCAGGGTCACGGGAGGGGATGCAGCAGGGCCGTGGGCCACCTACCTCTTTACAGTACTTGGTGATGGCCACGCCCAAGGGGTGCTCGCTGCTGGCCTCTGCGGTCCCCACCACAGCAAGCACCTTCCTGAGAGGCAGCACAGCCACGTCCACGAGCAGGAGGAACCGTGTGACCTTGGGGACCCCATGGGTAATGGTGCCTGTTTTGTCAAACATCACAGTCTTTATCTGCCAAAAACAAGCACATCCCGGTGACCACAAACACAGATGGGAGGGACTCTCAGAGTCCACATCATCCTGAGGCAGAACTTCAGCCAACCTGCCTCAAGAAGATAATACTTCTAACCTCTCTGTAACCAACCCCAGCGTACATTGGTGTTGCTTCCCTGGCTGCCCAGCAAAATATCCCAGCCTGTGGGTGCCCCTTGGCTGGGCAGATATCATAGGAGCCTTTAAGTGGAGCTCTGGTGGTGCAGTGGTTAAGTGCTCAGCTGCTAACCAGAAGGCTGGCAGTCCGAATTCACCAGCGGCTCCTTGGAAACCCTCTGGGGCAGTTCTACTGTGTCCTGTAGGGTCACTATGAGTCAGAATCCCCTCGACAGCAATAGGTTTGGTTTTTTTGGGTTTGGCTTTCAAAGTGCAAGGTGCAGGGCTAAACGCTGGGGAAGAATGGTGAGGAAAAAGTTCGTAGATCCAGATCTTACAGCACTTATGATCCAGCAGCACAGTCTCCCCAGGTCCTTTCCACGTGCTGGTCCCACTGCCAGAACATACTGCTGTCCCCCTTTGCCTGGCTGATTCTCGCTCAACTGTTAGGTCTCAGCAGAGCCTTTATTTTCCTTCCCTGACCACTGGCACCAGCCCCTCACCCCTAGATGCACACACACAAGTCTAGGTTAGGCCCGTTAAAGTGCCTCACAGCATTTTGCACCCTCCTTCTCACAGTTCTCAGCTTTTGTTTACTTCTTCAATATCTGTCCTTCCAATAACTTGTAAGCTCTCTGAAAGCTCTTTGATAGCAGGGAACTATGTGTTGCCAGAGCCTAGCACAGGACCCAGACGTAGTAAATGCTCAATAAATACTGAGTCAATTACTGGAAAAGCAGGTCAGAGACTGGTATGTTGGGCAAAAGAAAGCTTCTGAATGCACGTTGCTGCTCGCTCTTGCCCTCCCAGAGGTCATGGGCCCCAGCACTGATCACAGGGCACAGAGCTGGCACTTTCTCCTGGAGCCGATGACCTGGGTGTGAGTCCTGGCTCTCTGCCCCTGACTAGCTGCTGGCCTTGGGCAAACCACCTACCTCTTTCTGCTGCAGCTTCCTCATCTGTAAAATGGGAGTAATAAGCACCTACCTCAAAGAGTTCTGAAGGAGATTAAATTAGTATTTATAAAGCATTTAATTACATGACTGTCAGCTGTGGCTATTCCATCAGTTCTGGTATCCTGTTCTACTAAATTAACACTGCTGCCCTCAGGTCTCTCTCAGGCTTTTTTTTTTTAAAGGATATAGTAAACAGATACTATTTTCATTAAGACTCTCTAATTAAAACAATGTAGTTTACAGCTGCAAAATCATTCCGAGCCGGCTGAGGGGTGCAGCACGGGACCGACCTTGTGCGCCATCTCCAGAGGCTTGCCTCCCTTGATGAGGATGCCATTCTGCGCAGCCACCCCAGTGCCCACCATGACCGCTGTGGGCGTAGCCAGGCCCAGGGAGCAGGGGCAGGCGATGCACAGCACCGTGATGGATGTCTGGAAGGCAAACCGGAGGACCACCTCAGCCTGGGAGATGTGCTTGGGGAGGATCTAAAACAGGAAAGAGACAAGGAGCCAGGTAGAGTGTAACAGAGGCATCTCACAGAATTCTAAACACATACCAACATTTCAGCAGGGGCAGCGGGACCTCAGAGGGTGTGACGAGCTGGGATCAAGGAAACATGATTGTGCTCTTCTTTGCTTCAGAATTATCACACAGTCCACTTTACTATTCCACATCCCAGGCTTCCCTCAAAGAGAGGCTGTGTGAAGGCAGAGAGCCACACACAGATCCCTGATAGGGGAAATGGCGCAGGCTCTGGAGTTAGACCGTGTGGTCAACATGCTGGCTCGCTGTGCCTCCGTTTCCTCATATACAAAATGGAGATAATAATACTCATCTCAGAGGTTGTTGTAAGGATTAAATGAGTTACTATATAGAGAGTGCCTAGTACAATACATACCACACGAGAGGTATCCAAGATACTGCAACCATTACATCATCATCATGATTCTCATTATCATCATTATGAAAGCTCTAAAAATGGTCTCCAAGGAATCTATCCTAAGGTAATAATCATACAAGTGTGAAAAGATACAAGGATATTATCACAGTGTGTTTTTTTCTGTAATGGCGAAAAACTGAAGACAACGAATAAGGGATTGGTTAATTAACCTGGGTGTGATGTGCACAATGAACTATTATGCAAAGGTTGAAATGATGACATATATCTGTACTCACTGTCCTGGAAAGATGCCAGTCACACTGTTGAATAAAACAAGCAAGTACAGAATGGCATGTGTTTTGAATTTACTCGTGCAAAATTATTAGTCCTTATCTGTATATGGCCTTCAAACAATACTGGGAATATGTTCACTAAAACGTGAAAAATGGTTACTTCTAGGGATGAGATTTGCAGTCATTTTTTTTTTCTTCCCCTTATTTTTCATTACTGTTTTATCTGTAAACCTAAAACAAACACATCATGGGTCTCTTTTCCAGGTACTGGGTGGCACATATTGGTATTATTATTTGCATTCTGAGGTCCTGAGTTATCTTGGTTTACTTTCCAAAATGGCTGGTGTCTATAATCAAAAGATATTATATTCACTTAATTACAATAAAAGGCACATCTTCTAAATCAAGGATATGGGTTACAATCTCCCTAGCTTCTGCCCATACTTTATTCTTTAATTTTGAAAAGTGGGATTCTAAAATAAGGTGTGTAAAAGATCATTTTTCATTGAAACAGTTGTAATTAGATAGAGGAACAGATGTGGTTTTAGATATAATATGATTTTAAGATTAAAAATCCAATAATTCTTGCCAAAATAACATGGCAACAGCATGGGTGGACTCCTAAATGTTAACATAAGCCCTGTCCCTACAAACAGTTTCTATGCAGCAGAGTGACAAGAGTATCTTAAAGGAACATGCAGTACCTCGTCTGCCAGCATCCACCCTGATATTGCAGATAAAAAAGAAGAAGCAAGAGTAAGAGGGAAAGGCATGAAACAGCAGAAAGCCACATACTCCATCTTGTTTAGGACTGAGTTTTCCCAGCCACATGCCAATGAGCTGCTCTTCCTCAAATAGAGAATTTTTAGGCAGTCAGGTGCCATTAATAAATAGCCACTGGCAAATTCTAGGAATACATATTCATAGGTTACTCTTAAAAGCACTGCGGTCTCCTTCAACGTCAGAAAGTACTTAACTTGGTCATTTTTCAATTTAAGAAGTAAATTTAAAGTAGAAAATGACATCTTAGTAAGCAACATACACCCCAAGAGTATCTGGTATACTATTAATTCTGGGCAGAAATTTAAGATACAGAAAAAAATTATCCATTAAATGTTTGTAGTTACTTATACTATGGCTCAAAAGCAAAATAAGCATTAGACTGGTCTAGGTATGAGAAATTTTAAAAAATAAGGTTTATTTTAAATCGCTCCACTCACTGGGCAGTTAGCAAATAATACTCTAAGTGCCCAGTACCTTTTTATGTACATCCAGGTCACTCAACTTCAGCATTGTTGACATTCTGGGCTGGGTAATTCTTTGCTGGGGGCCAGGGCGCTGTTCTGTGCACTGTAGGGTGTTTAGCAGCATCCCTGGCCTCTACCCACTGATGCCAGCAGCCCTCCCAGTCGGGACAATCACAAAAATGTCTCCCAGCACTGCCAGATGTCCCCTGGGGGCAAAATTGTTGAGAATCTCTGATTTAGTTCTTATTTCTCGTAGAAGATAAGTTTCTTGAAGGACGGAGTGCTTTTTCCACTTTTTTTTAAATTAACTCAAAAGTATAGGCTGAAGATGGTACTGATGGATATAGACAACAAAAAATACACTTTTCTTAAAATCTGTTAAGTAATATTATGCCACTGAAACTATGAAATGAGGTATATTCTATGATGTGTAACTTATAACCTCAAAATTTGCCAATACTGCATGTTGTAAATGTTTTAAGCATTACAACTGAGAGCCAGCTGGTAGCTATGAAATGATATTACTAGAAAGCAAAGGGCATCTTTAATAAAAAGCTGCAGAAATACAGTGACTGACTTCAATTTTGCTGCCAATAAGTGAAGCAAACAAATAAAATGTAATGGGTAATTAAAGCCCAAATGAACGCGAGAAAGAAAGGAACAGGATTAATGGCAACAGATTATTTAAAACACAACAACCATCCTGCCCAAGGCATTCAACTTACAGGAAAATGTTTCTGAACAACACCAAAATTGATAAAACCGATTATAATCCATACCACCAACGTCAAAGTTGAAATGATGATGATAAATGGGACAAAATATCCACTAAATCGGTCAGCCAGTTGCTGAATGGGTGCCTATGAAGATAAAACACCAAGACCAGGGGATTACAACCTGACAAGAAATACAACACAAGCATGGATAAGGGTTTGGATTCTTATCTCCCTCATTAACTGTGTTTACTCATCAATCTCTACTCAGTAAAATCTGCCTGATTCTATAGAACTCTAGAAATAATTACTAAACAAGGAAGCTGAAGCGATATTGTTTTTCCAAGTGTCTTCAATACCTTTGACATCTGAGCCTCTTCCACCAGTTTCACAATCTGAGCCAAAGTGGTGTCGTTGCCCACATGGGTGGCATTAATGAGCACAGAGCCATGTGCATTTATAGACCCAGCAATCACTGTGCTTCCTGGCTTTTTAGTGACTGGCATGGCTTCTCCTAAGGGTGGAGAACAGGGACCAACCATCACTCACTATGCCCCACTCAGCATTCGCATGACTTGGCAACTGCTTGACACCCACCTGAAGGGAATGTGAAACAAATCACCTCACCTGTAATGAGGGACTCGTCAGCCATAGTACTGCCTTCCAGGACTTTCCCATCCACTGGGAACTTTCCCCCAGGGACAACCTTGATGATGTCACCCCGCTGCACCAGCTCCGTGGGTACCTGCTCCTCTCTGCAACAAAGGCCACTTGAAATTACACAGAGGGCAGCTCACAGGAGCCCACTCTGTGGGTCTGTCACCCTGGTCAGGTTCTAGACAAACTGTTGGGCTATTCACACTCTACTTGCTTTACATGGTACAAATGTATTCATTTTATCCATTCATTTATAGAGTTGGTCAATATTTCCTGCGCACCTCCTAAGTGCCAGGCACTGAGGTTATAGCTGTGAATAGGACAGCCAAGTCTCTACACCCTTGAAGCCAAATACTGTGGAGGAAACAGACAACAAAAGGATAGTATCAGGCAGTAAACAGGTACCATGATTAACATAAAACAGGGCAATGCAACTGGAGGCTTCTTTTTTTTTTTTTTTTTAATTGTGCTTTAAGTGAGAGTTTACAATTCAAGTCAGTCTCTCATACAAAAATTTATATACACATTGTTATGTGACCCTAGTTGCTCTCCCTATACTGTGACAGCACACTCCTCCTTTACACTCCGGATTTCCCATGTCCAGTCAACGAGCTCCTGACCCTTTCTGCCTTCTCACCTCACTTCTGGACAGGAGCTGCCCATTTAGTCTCATGTATCTACTTGAGCTAACAAGCACTCTCTTCACGAGTATCATTTTATGTCCCATAATGCAACTGGAGGCTTCTTTAGTGGGGGAAAGGGGACATAGGAAGGCCTTTCCTGGGAGATGACACTTAAGCTGACATCTGGATAATAAGAAGGTCAAACATATGGGATGTCATGGATTGAACTGTGTTCCCCAAAAATGTCTGTCAGCTTGGCCTGGCCATGATTTGTGTGACTGCCCACCATTCTGTCATCTGATGTGATTTTCCTGTGTGTTGTAAATCCTATCTCTGTGATGTTGATGAGATAGGATTATCGGCAGTTATGTTAATGAGGCCGGACTCAATCTGCAAGATTAGGTTGTGTCTTGATCTAATCTCTTTTGGGATATAAAAGAGAGAAGCAACCAGAGACATGGGGACCTCATACCACCAAGAAAGCAGCACCAGGAGCATAGTATGTCCTTTGGACCCGGGGTCCCTGTGCTGAGAAGCTCCTCAACCGGGGAAGATTGATGACAAGGACCTTCTCCAGAGCTGACAGACAGAAAAAGCCTTCTCCTGGAGCTGGCACCCTGAATTTGGACTTCTAGCCTACTAGATTGTGAGAGAATAAACTTCTGTTTGCTGAAGCTACCCACTTGTGGCATTTCTGTTATGGCAGCACTAGATAACTAAGACACGGGGGAAGACACTTGAGGGTGAGAAAACAGCTAACGCAAAGGCCCTAAGACAGGAAGGACATGTGTTTGAGAAGCAGGAAGAAAGTAAGCGTGCTGGAGTGAAGGAAATGAAGTACAAGTTGGCGCTGGAGTCGTAGGCAGAGTCCAGATCTGCTGGGTCTCCTAGACCAGTATGGGCTTTGGATGTAAGGTTTTCAGCAGGAGGGTGACATAATCTGACTCCCATGGTAAGTGATCCCTCTGGCTGCTGCATGAGAATGGGCTGTAGGGAGGCAATAGTAGAAGCTGGGGGAGTAGTAAGGCTATTGCAGTAGCTTAAGCAAAAGACAACAGTGACTTGGACTAGAAACGGAGAAAATTAACATCTAGGATACTTTGAGGCACGCATCAAGATTTACAGATGCACTGGATGTGGAGGTAAAGACAAGAATTGAAGACGGGTTCTATGTGTTTGTTTGAGCAACCAGGTGGATGGTGGAATCATTTAATGAGATGCAGACACCTATGGGAGAAGCAGTTAAGGGAGGGAGAGGGAAGAGAGGGGGAAGAGACGGAATGAAGAGCTGATTTTGACATGTTGGCTTTGAGATGTCTTCTTGACTTCCAAGTAGAAACGTCAAGTAGGGAGTTGGAAATATGAGCCTCAAGTTCAGAGGAAAGGTACAGATCTGGGGGACTTCAAAATGGAGACGGTATGGCAAGCCATGAGACAGTCTGAGCTCACCTAGGAGTGTAAATGGAAGTGAGATGGGGTCCCAGAACTAAGCCCTGGGGCACTCTGGTTAGAGGCTGAGCAGGAGCAGAGGGGCACACGGAGCCAGGGAGACTGCACAGGACCAGCCAGTGACGTAAAAGAAGAGAGTGCGAGGACACGAGCCAAGAGAAAAATCCATCAGCAGATGAACGGTTAATAAAATGTGGTGCATGTGTACAATGGAATATTATCAGCCATAAAGAGAAACGAAGTCCTGATACATGTTACAGCACGGATCAACCTTGAAAACAGTACGCTGAGTGAAATAAGTCAGTCACAAAAAGGGCAAATACTATATGATCTCATTTATGTGAGATATCTAGGAGTCAGAGTCAACTCAACAGCAACAGGTTTGGTTTTTTGGTTTGACCATGGGCGAGTGGGAAGTAGGGGGAGAAGGAGAACTCACTGCTTAGAGGACACTGAGCTTCTGTGAAGGGTGATGGGAAAATTTAGAAATGGACAATGGTAAAGGTTGAAAAACAAGATAAACATCACCAATGTCACTGAATTGTACACTTGAAGAATGTTGAAATGACAAACAATTTGTCACATATGTATTATCACAATTAAAAAAGGAGGAGGGAGCATTCAATCAATTGTACCACATGATGTGGAAATAGTCATACAGGTGCAAACATGTATAAACTCATCACACTCTACACTTAAGATGTGTGTACATTAGAGGACGTGAGTTACACATCAATTAAAAAAAAATAAAGTATTTTAACAATGAACAGGAAAGGGATGAAATGCCAATGAGAGGTTGAAATGAGGATAAAAAAGAGTGATGACTGGATTTGGGTATACAGAAATTAATTGACGGCTTTGGCAAAAGCAATTTCAGAAACTGGTTGAGGCAGAAGCCCAACCGAAATGGGCTGAGGAGAGAAAGTGAGGTGAGGAAACAAAGAACAGCAAGTGAAGGCAGCTCTTTTAAGCAGTCTTGCTGTGAATGGGAAGAGGAAAGCAGAGCAGGAGAAGGAGTGGATTCAGATAGAAAGTCGTAAAACCTGTTTAAACATTGGTGGGAATGGTCCCGCAGAGACAGAGAAAGAGAGAGAGAGAACTAGATGGTGCAGGAGGGAGAGAAGTGCAGGAACAAAGTGTCCAGGGAAGCAGGAGGCAGGGCATCCAGAGAACAAGGGCCAGTTCCAACAGCATTTAAGGGCACTGTCTGGCCCCAACATAACTGCAGGACGCAGAGCATTGGCTCATGCAAAATGGAGCACGTCAGACACGCAAGCATGTAGCCAAGCGGGGCTCCGAGGTTACTTTATACATCCCCTCCCTTCTACCAAGACTACCTTTAAACTATCACAGAGAGGAATGTACGAGAAGCCACCTTATTTATTTGAGGGGGAAAAACTCTGACAGTTACTGAGAGCTAGGTGCTGTGCTAGACTTGTACATGTTTTATCTTATTAAATCTTCCTCAAAACTTAGGAGGTAAGTGATATTATCCCCATTTCCACTGAAAAACCCAAGGCTCAAAGAGCCTAAAGATGTCTTAGAAATCTTAAAAAACATGCTCATTTTTTAAAATATTGCTATATATAAACGTATGGGAATTCCAAAACACTTAATTGTGCTCATGTGGAACCTGTACATAGACCAAGAGGCAGTCATTTGAACAGAACAAGGGGATACTGCGTGGTTCAAAGTCAGGAAAGGTGTGCGTCAGGGTTGTATCTCTTCACCATACCTATTCAATCTGTATGCTGAGCAAATAAATGAGAAGCTGCGCTACATAAAGAACGGGGCATCAGGATCAGAGGAAGACACATTAACAACCTGTGATATGCAGATGACACAACCTTGCTTGCTGAAAAGTGAAGAGGACTTGAAGCACTTACTGATGAAGATCAAATACTACTACAGCCTTCAGCCTCAACATAAAGAAAACAAAAATCTTCACAACTGGACCAGTAAGCAACGTCATGATAAATGGAGAAAAGACTGAAGTTGTCAAGGATTTCATTTTACTTGGATCCACGGTCAACACCCATGCAAGCAGCAGTCAAGAAATCAAACAATGCACTGCACTGGGCAAATCTGCTGCAAAAGACCTCTTTAAAGTGTTGAAAAGCAAAGATGTCACCTTGAGGACTAAGGTTGGCCTGACCCAAGCCATGGTGTTTTCAATTGCCTCATATGCATGTGAAAGCTGGACAATGAATAAGGAAGACCAAAGAATTGACAGTTTTGAATTGTGGTGTTGGGGAAGAAGATTGAATGTACTATGGACTGCCAAAAGAATGAACAAGTCTGTCTTTGAAGAAGTACAGCCAGAGTGCTTCCTGGAAGCAAGGATGGCAAGACTTTGTCTCATGTATTTTGGACATATTTATCAGGAGGGACCAGTCCCTGGAGAAGGACATCATTCTTGGTAAGGTAGAGGTTCAGCGAAAAAGAGGAAGACCCTCAATGAGATGGATTAACACTGTGGCTACAACAATGGGCTCAAACACAGCAGTGATTGTGAGGATGGCACAGGACCAGGCAGTGTTTCATTCTGTTGTACGTGGGGTCACTATGAATCAGAACAGACTCGACAGTACCTAACAACACAACTAACAACATGCTACGCTGTGGAGTCCCAGGGTGGTGCAAATGGTTAACGCACTTGGAGGCTAACCAAAAGACTGGAGGTTCAGGACCACCCAAAGCACCTTGGAAGAGAGGCCTGGTGGTCTACCTCTGAAAAATCAGCCACTGAAAAACACTGTCGAGCACAGTTCTGCTCTGATGCACACGGGGTTATCATGAGTCAGAACAGACTCTATGGCAACTGGTTTTACTGGTTATACTAGGCTGGGATTAAAAACCACCAGTTTTTATGACAGGCATTGTTGAGCTTACTATTATGTTTTAACTGTCCATATAGTACCTCATTATAATACTGTCTTCTCGAGCTGCCTTTTGAAATCTTCTCCTCAGCCCTTTTACTTCATCATTTCTTCCGTTTGCTTTAGCTACTCGACATTCAAGATCAA